TAGTTTCGCAAAATAATTCTTGTGTTCAACAGTCACTATAAGCATAGTTAATAATTACCATTTGCAATCACATACACATTACTGCGTCAATGAACTTGTCCACCATTCCTCATTTATTTAATGGAATTTTCATTAGAAAAATTACATTCGTCGGAATGGCGTATGAATGGCAGGACCATTTTCGGTTATGGTATTGTGAGAGACGTTCTTTTTTTTGGCGCTTCATCTAGATGAAAATTAGGCGAGTTTTTCAAAATCTGTTCATTTCTTTATGCCTGTTAAAAAGAGCAAGCAAGAAAGAAAAAGCATACGACGAAATGAGCACATTTAATGATAAATTGAAGTTAATATTTTTATCAAATTACGTGCTCAATGAGAAAAGAGAAAGGGCGACTGAGAAAAATGACAACAGCAACAACCAGAAAATGGGCGTTAATTCGATTATGTTTGTAGTCTTATTTTCTTCGTCGCCGTTGTCGTCGGTTAAGCAATGTGATGTCGACAACGATGTTAAAACGACGATCAACACGAACGATGACGACGGCGATAGCAAACGAGTCGACGACAAATGAAGAAAGTATTTCAAAGGGATCCACAACACTCAAATACGCATTTCTATTATATTTTTCATATTGCGGGTGTGATCGCGATGGAAAAATAGCATAAATGTTATTATTCCAACATTTCATGCAATATGGAAATTAAGAGAATTGAAGTATATAAATAACGGCGCAAAAGTGGAGTTTTTCCCTGAGCCACATGCACACACTCGACACAGATAGAGAAAAAAACAAATCTATTTTTTTTTACGAGATGGACACACACATATTTGCAAAACACGTAAACGAAAAATGAAATATGAAATTACTTTGATAAATTAAAAAAAAAGAATAACTAGAGAAAAAAGAGCGCAGGTAAAAAATGGTGCGTTGCGTGAACATGTGGATATTTTCTTTGTACAATTTTTTTACTTTTTTCTAATTGCTTTCGGGGAATGAAGTTGTAAAAAGCACACATCGACAATAGGATTATATTTTTTTTTTTATATTTATCTCATTTTTGTTCCTCTCTCATCGGATTATAGAAATAAACATTCAAAAAATAGGATGAAAACATTTATTTGCATATGAAAACAAATGAGAAATAAAATGTTTAATTTTTTATTTAAAATCATAATGCGACGTTTTTCTGTTATTCGAATAACAAATATTTGTAATTACCAAGAATTCCTTCTGAATAATAATCGGTTTTTTCAATTCAAATACTGTTGAATATGTGCATTCGATGGCTTTCAACCAGATGAACTCTTTGTGTCAACTACATATTTGACATACAAATTAGACCTGATTGTGCTTTATATAGCAGCCTCAAAAGGGGACTATTATGTTTTCAATTTTCAATTTTTTTTGATTTTTTTCTACTATTCTAAAAGAAAATTTCTATATTAAGCTCATTATTGTGCTATGTTTGTCTATTTGATAGACATCCTTTTTATTTAAAATAAAAAATAAAAACTTGGCAATGAATTTTTTTGGCAGCGTAAAGAAAATTATCTGTGGCTTTGGTATGTAGTAAACAAATTCAATAGAAAAATATATTAAAAATGTCGACAAAAAATGTGACGGTCACAAAAACAAATCTGATTCGATATGACTCATGCGTAAATCAAATCACACAAGTTTGTCATTTTATTGGCTCTATTAAGTAAGGTTTGACATCTGGCCCATCTCTATTGAAATATATATGTAAACGCTTGTTTCGTCCCAGTCGAGGAAAAAAAGAAGTGTAATAAAATCAGTGAAAAGCTTAGCCATTTTCCGCTTTCATTTTTGCTGAACAGACGACTATGAATAGCTGAATCGGTCAAATGTCTGCGCCTTTTTGGCCTAGCTACGGTTCAATTTTAATGAAGACGCAGGCAGTAGTTAGTGCGATGCCATCCAAAAACCGTATCGAAATAAATTTCATTTGTGTGGGTGAGTGTGTGAGAGAGACGGCCACAATATAGATATTAAAGATCCATATGCATGAATTTGAGTATGTGTTACGTAAATAATGTCTAATGTGCATATTTTACTTGATACCACTGGATATATGTGCCTGGCAAAAACCCGAACTGTAATCAATCGCACATGTTGGCCCAAATGATTTACAATGCATGCCACGCAAATGCGAAATTGTTTGCTGACACATTCGTCCATTATCGCGCCAGTAAAGCAGCGGCCAAATTATATTATAATTTTGAAAAAGAAAAATAATGATTTTACTTGTATTGCAATTTGAAATGCGAACGCAAAATATTTCAATTTCAATGTCTATCCAATAAATGTGATGTGTTTTGAGCGTATGTGTGTGTTTGTGTGTGGAACAGTTGAAATTTCAAAATGCATTATTTTAGTTGAAATTTCAACAACGATGAACACGCGCCAGACTCACAGACCGCTTGATGTACTCATTCTGAACTTTGACACTACGTATGGATGGACGGACATTTTTCGTCAAACCGTCATGCAATCTATTTCTGGGAACGAATATACTTTGATTAACAGACCAAAAATTGCTTTCTCTTCCCTTCCCTTGTTCATTATTCTCCTTTTTTGCACGTCTGTCCGCTGTATTTTTTTTTTCAAGATCGATATGTTACGAAACAAAATAAAAACATAAATTGACTTCGTTCAAAATGATTTTGATTGCCAGACGTTTCACATTTATCCCAAGTTCATTCACATTCACATGCTAATTGCAAAGTTTACCGCATTTTCAATTCATTTAAACTGCCAAATACAGTGGTCCGTCTGTTTTACACGAGAAATTGAAAACAAACACAAAAAATTGTGTGTATGTTCAGCACACAAAAAAGATGCTTGAATGTTGTTGCGGCTATCAGTGGCGAATTGAAAATTATTACACTTGCCGATCGGCAGAGAAAATTACTTTCGACGCAATCTTACATTTTCGATTCGACGAAAATAAATCATTTTCGTGCCGCTTGATAAGAGTTTTCGTTTGTTATACATTAAAAACTTTGAAGTTTACCAAACATCTGTGCTGTATTTAGTATACCTTCCCGCACTCGTTTCTTTTTAAATTGACAAACTTTTAAAATACGCACGCTTCTAAAGGTCAATCAGTTGGAGTGGTTTTTTTTTATTCTCTCCCCCTTTCTCGCTTTCTCCCTCTCTCTCAATAATCGGAACATTTTCACTCGATATTAATGAAATGTGCTAATATTATGCTGAAAACTTTCCATAGATAAACAAAAAAATCTGGGCTAAAATTATAACTGTGCATGTGCTACGATTAGCAATATTAAACCCGAAAAAAATGTTTAGTATTTCGTTCTTTGTGATCAGTTGAAACATTTCAAGCATGAAAATTGTTAATTTATAATCTGTAGTAATTGTATAAATTGCATGCGGGAATAAAGTTATTATCGGTTATTTAATAGAGCAAAGAAGAAAAAAAAATATGTAAATTGCAATGTGGTCTCTCTCTCTATATATAGTTATATGGTTTTTTTGTCATTCGATCGAATAAACAAACGTCAATATGACACAATCGTAATGCATTAAACATTGTAAACCTTTCGCTACTTTCACTCGCACTATTATATTTTACATTTTCACACACATTTAAATGTGATTGTGCTGTGCAATTCATTTCATTCGCAGCGAAAACAATTTTTTGATTGAAAATGTGAATTGAAAAAAAAAAAAAAAACAAAATGCACAGAGTGCGCTTGAGAGAGAGAGAGAGAGAGAGAGAGAGAGAGAGAGAGAGAGAAAATAACGTCAACAACAACGATGCATTGGTCTATTAACAAATTTAGCACACAATTAAAGTAATTGCTGCCATTTTTATTCTATATGGGAATATGCCATACAAAATAATGGAACGTGCTTATGTGGGAACGAAACACAAATGAGCTATATCTCGCTTGCCCTCACTTGTTCAATCTATTTGTCCTTTTTTTGGTTATTTTTCCGTTCGATATACGCGTTGCGTACTTTATAACGAGAGAACGTTTATCGACCTCCAATATACTCGCCCATTGTCTCTCTCCGGCTCCCCCCCGCTCTCTCTCCTTTGAACTCTCTTGATGAGACAAATTCGATCATGTTTTTATTCCTCCCACGGCATACGTGCAATTTATTCGCCCATTATTTCCTTTAGTAAAACATACGCATTTACCAAAAAATAAATAATTAAACAGCTTATCCTGTCATCAACACAATGAAAACGTAATTATTGAACCGCCCGGACGACGCATTAGCCGAAACTCACTTCAAAAAATGACAGCTTTTCAAGAAATGCACCGACGGTGTGTATGTGTGTGCACGCTAGTTTTATTTATTGTTTCGATAATAATGCGAGAAATTTTTTACTGAGCCACGCAGGGATCTATCATGCATTTGATCAATGTGTGAATAGCATATGCAGCACACAAAAATTTACCTCAAAAATTGCATAAAATAATAGCAACAGCAATTTCACATAAAATAAATAAATAAATATATAAAAAATACATAATTTACCGGGCATTGTAAATTACAAATTGTTGTTGAAGCATCGATTGATATCAACTTCGCAAAATAATTATATTTTTGTTGACTTTGTTAATGATCCCCATTTTCGGAGTTGCATCGGATTTTATGTTTTAACGGACAATTTGGCTGCGAATTGTCACATTTTTTTTCAGTTTCGTATTTTACTAACAAACAACAAAAATGGCATATATTATTTGGGATTTAATTTGGTCGTTTATTATTCCCTTTCTACCAATTTTGCGACGAAAATGGTTTGCCATTAATTTTTGTTTTTGCACAAAAAATCCAAATGATTTAATCAAACCACAAAACGAATAGTTTAGCCTTTACTTTTGAACGGAAACGTCGTTTAGCCCAACAAATTTCCAATTACAAAAAGATATTATTTTCATATCACTTTGTATGCAAAATATTAAATGATCATTTTCTTTGGATTTTCATTTCTATCTATAGGTTTATCAACAGCGACGATACGCAATGTAAGTCTTCTGGTCGATCCACCCTCAGTGCGTCGTGGTCAACATGCGACATTCATATGCTCTTATGATCTAAGTGGCGCTCCATTGTATTCCGTGAAATTTTACCGTGGAAACCATGAATTCTATCGTTATTCGCCCAGCGAATTGCCAACAAGCAAAGTATTCCAATTTGTTGGTTTCAACGTTGACGTAAGTACAATATTCATTTATTCAAATGGAAATTTCATATTTTTCTTCAACTTTCATTGCACTAAACCTAAGTGGTCTAGTTTTCTGTGTCATTAAAAAGAAGTGTTTGACATTCTTGAAGAAGTATGTCCTGTGAATAAAAATCCCCTCATATTCATATAAATTCATAATGGCAAGCATCTCATGCCTGGTATTCTTTACGTAAGCTCATTTTGTACATGAAATGCTCTTTTTTTAATTGTTTACATTCCGTTTGTTCAATTTTTTTTTTCTTCATCTTTCATCACTGTTCAGAGATTTGTTCTTGTTTGTTTTCTGTTTGGTTTACCGTGCTTTTCATTCAATGTTTTTTGCATTTGGTTTCTTTTTTTCTGTCGGTTGTTTTTTCTCCCTCAGTTTTTATTTTATTGTATCAGCCATTTGAAATGCAGCGCTTCTCATTTCTTTTTCTTTTTTAATTCTTTATTTTTCGTTTATATGGTTGTTTGCCATCGAATATCCTTTGCTGCAATTTTGAATCTATACTCGAAATGCTTCGAAATGAATCTTTAACCTTTTGTTCGTACTGTAAAATGTTTTGTGTGCGTACAATTGTACATACACACATAACCTGTTTATGGGTGGCCCATTATTTTCTGGAACTATTGTCTCATTTCAGTCGGTTTTATTTTTCGTCCCCGTATTTCTCCATCGTTCACCGTATAAATAATTCAGTTGTCGTTCTGTTTATCTTTCCAGTTATCGATGTCAAACGCAAGTCAAGTGGTCATACGTAACGTTGGATTTGGATTGTCGGGAAATTTTTCGTGTGAGGTAACGGCTGATGCACCATCTTTTTCAACGCGTACAGCGCATACACTATTGCAAGTTGTCGGTAAGTATGCAAATCAGTGATTTTTCGCATATCATTTATCTGTCTTATTCATAAATGTGAACGATTGCAATGTATCAGCGTGCTCGTCTCAATTTTCCATTTGGCTCTTTCGTCGAGCAAACGACGAAATAAACAAACAACTAAACGAATAAAACAACATCAACCAATATTTTCCCGAAAAGAAAATAAACACTCGGAATTGAAACGAATTGACGATGGAATGAAAGTATGAGTAAGATTGTGAGGAAGAGAATGAAAAATGCAACGATGAGTTGAAACAAAACGATGACATTATATCGCAGACATACGATAAAATACGTGTAACAATACCGAGAAAGTGAATTGAATGTTACACGAAAATGTCATATGCATGAAGTTTTCAACCCGACGAACGTGTGAATGTGCTTCCTGTAAGCAATGCACAATGTACGTCTGATATACTCACAGAAATTAAGGGATTTTAATCTATACATAAAAGAGGTAAAATATCATTTTACACTGCAATTTTTACGACGAATGTAAAGAAATATTTGACCCAAATACGCTGTGAAAAATCAATTCTTGGCATGGATGTAAGAAAAAATAGTGTAAAATGACATTTTACATAGTTTACAATTTGTTTTACTCTAAAATTTCTCTGTGAATAGTTTTCTGGTGCTTCAATGACAGAGTATACGCTCTTTCTGAGGTGATGATGGTTTGGCTTGCGAAACGCGCACAATACAATGTATGTTCACATTTTGAAGCTTCTGCACACAATGAAAACAAAAAAATACTACATAAAATAAGACAAAGAGTGAAAAATGTTGACTCTTTTTTTTGCATTGATGTAGATTTTTCAGTTTTCTAATGTGAAACGGTGCAATTGCTGTATGTGAATTTCCGAGGCACTGCATGAAAACTATTACCACGAGCTATGGATTTTCAACAGTCACAACCAGACGCGAGCTTCATTAATTCGCATTTTTCATGGAGGAAAAAAATTGAGAAGGTTTCAGCCATAAAAAAATCACCTTCTCTTGATCATTTCCATCGTACGTTATACTATTATACATTTTTTGACGTTGTATGAATATTGCTGTGGAGTTAATGAAACTGACATATTTGTGGACACGAGTTGATAGCTATTACTTTCATTTACAACAAATATTTTTTCCTCGAACTGTGCTGTTGTACTCGACATTACTTAAAACTATTGAATAGAGAAAAAGAAAAAAACTCAATTTTTATACACTACATCAAAAGCGGAGAATGAATAAAGACGAAAAAATTGATTAAAATTCCATTTACATGTTTGGTATTTTCGCCTTTGGCCTTTTCTATAAACACACAAAATAACTTTGCACAGATATGCATTTCTCATTAATGAGCAAAAAATCATATTTTTTACGAACATCAATAATGTGAAGCAACAAAAAAAAATCAAGTAAATAACAGCAACAAATATTTGAAACCGATTAATGCCTTTTAGCGTCTGATCGGTTTTTCGAAAATTCAAAATACAAAAAATGACCGAACTCTAACCAAAAATCTGTATTTTTCATTTGGATTCGGATCAATGAAATTTTCGTGTTCATTGAAATGATGATGCTTGTTTTTTAAAGAAATTCTAGTGTGTGAAGTTAGCTCTCAGCAGTTTTTCATATAAATTATATGGCATTTGGTGACGTCATTTTTCGCACTAGATTTACTAGTTTTTCTAGTATTCACTATTGTGATTCACGAACAACAAAAACAAATCCGATAAGTTTGACTGGTTTTTTACTCAATCAACGTGTATGAAAGCGGCAATCAAGTTTACTAATTTTGTGGTAAAATGTTCCAGTGACATTTTAAAAAGAAAACATTTCTGTTGTAGTCGCTTTCATCCCACACTCTCTTTTTCTCTCGCTCTCTATGCAGAAACGATTTTTCCAACAAATTCAATTTTAATGTCATAACGATGAAAGCAGACATGCACTCTGGAATATTAGTCAAAAGTGATTCTGATGGCATAGCGACCAGAAAAATACTGTCTACGCAATACACATAGAGAGTTAACACCGGAATGAACAAAAAAAAAACTCTTTCAACAGACAACTTACTCGAGTGGGGTATTATCGCTTGAAGCATTCGACAGTATTCATTTAACCAAACCGCCGACATAAAAATGATTGCGAATCGCTTAATGTGAGTAATGACAACAACGAAAAAAAATGAAACATAATCACATGTACATACGCATCATGAGTTGATGTCAATACAAAGGTACAAAACCGAAGAGAGAGAGAGAAAAAAACAGATCAATTCCAGCGTCTAACACAAACATGCTGAATTAGCGAAATTGCTTATGCGTGCACAAAGCGACCCCTAATAATGGCATGGAAAATTCTCGTTTTCTGATGAGCAAAGTAAAAGAGTCGAAAAAAATGATCCAAAATAATGAAAGAAGTTGAAGAAGAAGAGGACGGTGAAACCGACGATCGTCACCACACACCTTGCAAATCACCTTTTAATGCTACTTTCCTTTGTGGCAATTTCCATACATTTTTCTTATAAAAATATTCAAGAATTTTGCAAAGAAAATAGAAACGAAATAAAGAAAAAGCATGGAAAGCACATTGGAATGGGACAGAGCTGAACTGAGAGGACACAAAATAATCGAAAATTGCCTTCGCAGACAGTGAATTTTGGCGTCAAATGAAAAGATGGTAAAAGGAATTTTCTTGTAATTTTCTTCGTTTTTGAGACACAACCAACTCAAGTGAACACACACACATTGGGGATAACAACGACCGAAGAGTATATACGACGGTGAATTGAATTGGCGCAAATCCTTCATAAATTTATGTATTTTCTAATTTGCGTACAAATGAGGTGAAAATCTAATTATTTCATTAAATTAGTTTTTATTATGCCAATTTATTTGTTTTTATAGCAATTCACGTTGCACAATCGCTGTTTATCGGTCACAGCTGTTTTACTTTTCAACAACATCAACACAATGAAAATGTATAAAAGCGTGTACATGGCCAATAATTTTTTCTTCTTCTTCTTCGTGTTCTTTTTCATTCGCTTTGGATTTCACACGTTGGCTGTATGTGAACTTTCTTTCTCCTGCTTAAAGGTTTTTTTCTCATTTACGCTGCCATCGATACGATGTTTACTTGTCGATTGTAGGGTAAAGTGGCTGTTGATAAAACGCAACGAGTGAAAATGAATCAATTTCAAGCATATCGAATGGCATCCCAAAGAGCTGACACACACATGCCAACAAGTTATTGTAATGGAATACAAACCATTTGAGTGGATATATCTGAGTTCTTTCAGGCATCACATACACACACACACACACATCGAAAAATTGACTCGATCATAAAAACAAAAGAAGAGAAAAAATGTGTATAAACGTGCACCGGCAAAAAATTGCCAACCAAATCGATTTAGGAAAATATTCAAGCAACACGGCTAATAATGTTAGGCATATAAATATATACAATATATACCCAAAGCACATCTGCTTAGACACGTAAACGCACCCCATTTCCGACACGAATGCTTGGATCGTGTGCTATTTCAGATTTGACATTATTACCTTAAACCCGCACATTTCGCCAACTTATTACAATTGAAACAATCAAAGGAAACAATGAACAACACAACCTAATCGTACTCTATTACCCACCCTCAACTAAAGGTAAACCACTATACACAATACCGTTGCTGTTTCTTGAATCTATTCGTACGCTGAAAAAAAAAATGAAATATTTCCTCATTCGAAATTCGCTAGTAGTACATCCGTCTATCAATCCAAACCGAATGAAATTGTCACGTTTGTATCAGCAATTCACCAAAAAAATTCTTAGAATCATAAACACATATTCTTTTTTTCTTCGCGGATTCATCTTTCTCTTTATCTCACACCGATGTAATTTGATTAGATTGTCAGTTGAAAAGATTTCGTACGTTTGAAATGCTCTTTGAAGAAACGAAGAAAAAAACAGTCATGCGACCCTGGCGCGAATTCTGATACTTCCAAGAAATGGGATTCAACAATATTTTGGCCGCCGTAGAAAAAAGTCATCTTTTTTGGCTTTCTACTTTCGTCTCGACATTCCAACTGTTTTCAGATTGGTTTTGTCTGTGTCTTTTTTTTCTGCTCGATTGTTGCGAAGCAAACCGAAAATCTTTCGACTACCATCTATCAATTGAATAACGCTAAAAATGAATTGCTCTCGAAAATTTGCAATTTGTATTTCGATTATTGTCAACAAAGTAAATGCATGTTTTTGACAGTGTGAAAGAATTTCAAATGCTATTATAAGCGACAATCCAAAAATAATATACCTCAATGGCCTCAAAATAAGAAAACGACAACAACAACGAAGTTAATGCCAACACAACACATTATGATAACTGTCGCAAACACAACAACAACAAAAATATATGAAATAATGACACACACACCTACACACAAACCGACACACACGTACATACACAAAACATAACAAATGCTAAGTCCGCGCGCGTCATTTCATTTCAACAGCTGCTGCTGTGTTGCCGTTTGCTGCTGTGACATGGCCAACACTTGTGTCAGTAACCATTTAAAAGGACCCCGCTTTCAAAAAAAAAAACAGAAAAAAGTAACCAGCATCTAAATATATAAGAAAAGAACTTCGTAAAGAAGAATAAAAGCGAAAGAGAAAGCAGCGAAAATCGGATAAATCGAATGACACACGAATCCAATGCTGATGACAGAGGTGCAAATTGTTGACAACAACTACTATGACGATCAACATGCTTGTTGTGATTGGAATAAAGCACACACACACACACACTTGCATACTGATATGGCACGCATATTTTTTTGATGACATCAAAATGGAATAAAATTCGACATTGCAAAGATGATCGGAATGAATAGAGAGAACGACATGGGTTTGACTATATTACCCAGGGGATTGATAGTAACTAGAAGTTAAATCAAATGTTATCTTACCATTTTTATTTGATGACTTTGG